CCCCCTGGTCCGACGGCCGCTGTTTTGTTAAGGGCTACTAGTCCGGTACTCAAAAAGTGTGTGTTTGTACACACACGGTATCTATAAGGCTATTTCACATTATGCCCTCCCCCAAAGAGAGAATTAGCACTCGTGAAATTCAAAATGATCAAAGAGTGTCGTTTCGTTTTTGATTTGGGAAGCAGCAATGGAGGAGAATGGATGAGACGTTCATGTTTCTTTCGATTCTGAGTATGTTCCATGATCACAGGTTCTGGCAGGCCGGCCCGTTCTGAAGGAAGTTGTGTTAGGTCAGCATCTGAAATTGGGATCTCTTCGTCAAGCGTGTGGGTGGATTGGTTCCGATTCTGAGTATGTTCCATAATCACAGGTTCTGGTAGGTCGGTCCGTTGTGAAGGAAGTTGTGTTAGGTCAGCATCTGAAATTGGGATCTCTTCGTCAAGCGTGTGAATGCGAGGGGTAGTCTCTGCATCTGGTCTATGAAACGAGTCGGTCTCTCGCAGGGTTTCGTTCGAAATTGCCTCAGAGTCAATTATTGGCAACAGTCGGATTTGTTTGAAATTCCTTCTGATCACCTGATTCCCTTGTTGCAGTAAAACCTCATTTCTAAAATAATCCACGCCTACAATAAGTATTGGTTCAGAGAATTGGGTGTCGTGCTTCGCATGCGGGAAGATACGAGCACATGCCATCATGCCAACAACAGGATTAAAGTTGATATGCGCCATCTTCTCGTCCAATTCGCTCTGGAGTTGTTTCATACGCTGGTCGGCTCGCCGTCTGATCTCGTTGGTTTCCATGACGTGTTGTTCATTGTCCTTTAGCAAGTCCACAGTAATTCCAGTCTGTTGGGGTGTTTGCCGACCGAAAAGCAGTGCAGCTGGAGAGAAACCCAGACTTTCATGATGCGTCAGGTTATATTGTTGCACCAGAAGTTTCAGTTGGAATGGCCAGGTACGCGGTAGTTCCTCCGGGGTCCTAAAGAAGTTGTTAAGATGTCGATTGATAATCTCAACTGGGGCTCTTGCTTGTGGGAATCCAGTAGCTGTCGCCATGTTTTGTTAAGGGCTACTAGTCCGGTCTCAAAAACTGT